ACTATCTGTGTTATTTGAAATATTTGAAAGGGTTGTTGAATCAACTTCTCTTCTATAACTTCGTTGAATTAAATTTAAAGGAGGAATATTATTTTTAATCGAAATCCTGTGTATTGAATTTATAAATAAATTATTAGAAGGAAATAGAACTCTTTTCTGATTGAAATAATATTTTAAAGAGAATGACATTTTTAACTAAAAAAAAAAAAAAAACGAGATAATCAGCATGGGTAAGAAATCATCTTTATTGGATAATAAATGTCGAAATTCGAAGTTGGAAATCAAAAGTTGAACAGCTTTTTTTTATTTTTTTTTAATTAAAACCATAAAAAAAAAAAAATTAATTTTTATTTAATAACTAATGAATTCGCATTGTTTCAATTACACCTTACTCAACTTTAAAAAAAAAAATATTTTACTGTATTTAATTTACTATTACGAAATATTGCTAAAAACTAATTTAAATATTTTCACGGCTTCATTAACTTTCGATCTAACATCGTTTTTTATAAGGGTTGCGAGGTGAATCCCATTAGGTTTAATTCTCTTCTTTTTATATTTAAAATTCTCTTAAAAAAGAATTAAAGCTAAAACAATTTTTTAAATCATCAAGCTGCTACTCGTAGTAAATATGAAGACTCTCTTAGATAAATAGAAGGTTATAAAGAACAGAACAGAGCTTTGGCACGTTGCTTAGAAAAAGTTCAGGTCTCATGGCGTTTTTTTTTTTTAGATAATTTACTACAACAGAGAAGCAAACATTTCATTTTTCTTATTGCAGTTCGTTTTATTATTAAATTACTAACTTTTTAGTTTAAGTGCTGTCGCACGTTTCAGTCTGTTAACTTGTGGTTTATCCGCACGCTTTTGCAGTTACAGACTTGTGACGGCTCTTAAGTTATTTTCTTTATATGTATTTTCTTTTCTTTTTAATTATTTTCATGTACCTTTTCAATTATCTCTATATAATTTTACTATTGTTCAATAAAATTTTATGGCTTATGCCATTTTGCCTTTTAAAAACCTATTGGCAAGCTCCTTTGCATATTGTAATAAAATAAGGTGCCGGTACTATGCCATGCTAATCAGGTAAAATAACAGGAATACTGCTCGGTTTCATTTCGACTTTATTATTATTTATTTTTATTTCTATGAATCCATCTTTAATAATCAGCATTACTTCTTAACATTTGTAAATAAAGAAAAATGTCATTCGTAACGATTATTAATTAGAGCAAATAATGGTTATAACTTTTAGAAGTCTGTAAATTAAATAAAACTTACTTAGCATAGTCCTTATTGCAGTACTTATTGCCGTTAATTATCTTAAGAACTGAAGAATTCAATTAATAGTCTCTAAATACGACATTGCAATAAAAATTTGAAAAATACGCTCGTAAGTGCCTTCAAACAATTACATAAGATCAATTTAAATAAATATCTTTTTGAACGTTTATCAATATTTTCATTATTCAAGAAAGATAACGAAATCAAATCTTAATTAATTTCTTATTCGATATAATTATCGAAATTTTTAATATTGCCATTTTGGATGTTTCATATGAGCACAATTTCGTTTAAGATTTAAGAATGAATATTTTATTAACATCATACTTTAAATCTTCTAAGATCATTTAAAATAATGGTTTATATTCTGTCAAAGTTATCATAGCATAATATTACCTGATTAGGATAAATGCTATGTCACAAAATATGGCTTATTTAACATTAAAAAGAATGAAGGTTAAATATTTGAGAATCAGTAAAACAATCAACTAGTTATAATTTTCTATTATTTTTTTTCAACGTTATTACGATACATTGAGTCTTATAGAACATTTACATTGTTCTTACAACGACAGATATTTTCTGAAAAATTTTGTTTATTCTTTGTAGGTTAAACAAATGAATTCGGTCAAATGTCGTCAACGCTTCATCGTAATGTATTCTTAATGATTTTTTTTAATAGTCTTGACATTTTTATTCTTTTTATAGAATATTAATACGACTTTAATGTATTTTAGTTTTTACAAATTGCGAATTCATTTAATATTTCTTTGTATGCTTAATTTCTATTTGAATAATAAGTATTATATAAAATAACTAACAATTCAACATGAAGTTCTGTTTTTAATCGCTCTGATTCTATAAATTTTACAAAGGCTAAATCCTTTATGATAATGATAAATTATGATTTCATATTTTAATCATGAAGAATTGATTTCTAAACTCTTTTTTTTTTGAAATAAAAAACTCAAATATTGACGTATAAATACTTGAAATGTGTGGTAAATAAAGACCTTGTATCATTAATTACCTTGAAATACTAATTTAGCTCAAGAAAAATTTTTAAAATTATATATTTGGTCTCGGTACTTTAAAATAAATACCTATTAATTTAATATTTATGTGATGATATAAAATTGCATTAATAAAATATTATTTATTCATCATAACACTTTAGTAATTGTTGCTTATACTATCAATAATTATTTTATTAATACTTACTCCCTTAGGTAGGAGTTATTGATTTAAATTATTATTTCCTTCATTTTTATTGTGTTTCTCTTTCATATCTATTCTTTTTATTGGATATATTCCGTTTATACAAAAAGAAACTTCCAAATGATAGAAAAATTCCTGTTCCTATAATTATACCGATTATAACTGGCATTGATAGTTTTGTTGATTGCTTCGTTGAAAAATCGTTTGTCCATATATATTCATTGTTATTACTAATATCAAGCAATAAAATTTCATCATCTTTGTCAATTTCATTCTCATTTTCACCTACACCTATTAATTTAAAATTTGATCAGATTTAAAATTTAACAATTTAAAACTTTTAACAAAGTTAATTAATATTTACCAAATGTTATAACCATGTAATTTCTAATTACATTTGCCCCATGCCAACGTCTTGACTCTGCAGACGTTTTTCCAGACGTTTTTGGAATGGACCATTCAAAATTTGTCAAATTTAATACATAAAGTGCTTCTGGAAGTAAAATGTTTTTATTTGAATTTGCTCCTCCAAAAATTATTACTCGTTGTCCATCCAACCCTTTAATTGATCACAATATCATTGTCATTGTTAGTTAATAAAAGTTCAAAACTTCCTATACATATTTTGCTTACTTACCGAGGACAGTAGAAAAAGCATTTCTATCCGAAGGAATTGTACCTAAAGTTGTCTAATGTAAAATTATATAAATAAGTTTTTAACCATTTAAAAATATTTACTACTAGATAAAATCCATCAATTAAACTTGCCTTTATACTCCAATTATCATTAATCGTATCATATAAGTAAACCTGAAGTTTTATTAGTAGATATATATTTATTAACTTTCAATGTTTATTTTTTGTATATTATTTAATTAATAAATCACCTCTTTTAGTGGATAAGCATTATTAGTATTATTCATAGAACCACCTATTTAATAAAAATTATTAACATTGTATAAAACAATATTTGTTCATTAATTACAGGAGATATGATTACTTACCAAAATAAATAATGAAATTATTTGGAACGAAAGTTGCACCATAAAGATTTCTTGGAGTAGGAGCATCAACTGAACTTCCTACTTTCAAATTCAAATTTATTGTATCTAAAATAAGCATATCATTATAAAAAGTTATTCTATCTCTATAATTTCCACCGAACAAATACATATTCCCATTATAATCAACGATGCCCCTTAGGTTAAATTTTATCTTGAAAGTATCTTCATTTCCAGCTAGTTTTGGAATACTCCATGAATTGCTTTTTGTATCAAATGTATAAACTAATTCCAGATCGACTTTATCATTTCCTCCTCCATATAAAAATAAAGTATCATTATATACACCACCTCTTGCAGATGAAGCGGCGCGATGCGCTGGAATAATATTAATATCAGTTAGATCATGCCATATTAAATTTTTAGTATTAAATGATACAGAAACGTCAAGATAAAAAAATTGTCTTCCAATATTTTCATTATTAGTAGTTGTAGTAACTCGACCACCTAAGATGTAAAGTTTATTATCAATAAGTGTAGCAGTGTGAGCATATCGCTTTAATGGCTTGAAAGGCTCCATTTGACAATTTACTTCAATTACTAATTGAATTAAAAGCCATAATACAATATATATCGAATAATTCTTTGACATGACTTTATTTACTTAAAGATAATTGCAATTGTTTTTATTAAAAAAAAAGAAAGATCATTTTTATATTGTTCAAGTTGCATTACATTGCAGAGAATTACTCAGCAGATCGCATTGTATCACGCTCTTAGCATTTTTTTTAAGCACTTGTCGATCGATCAGTCAGATATTAATTAGATCTTACGAGCAATCCAATATTTTTACAATTACAAATTCACGTAGTATGTATGAATTTTCTGATACATTTGACTGATCCCTATTTTTCATTGTTAAATAGATGAACTTGAATGCCCCATCAAATTTTTAGACTCGATTACATCAACGCAAAATTTATTTATTCTTTAAAAAACTTGACATTATTATTTTTTTTTTTTAAAAAATGCGAACGCGTCTTTTTTTTTATAAACTTCGTACTCATTTATTTGTGACTTATTCTCATTTGTCTTATTCAAAAGAAGATATATAGATCTATAGTTCCATTTCTCGCAAGTCGAGCTTGAACATGAGTTTTTAAAAGCGTTTTGATATTCAAAAATTGATGGTGCATCTTCGATACCATGAAATGATAGCATGAGATTACTGACACGAAGATGTAAGGTCGACGAAAAAGCATTCATCCTCAATCATTCTTGGTCTTCAAAGGAATTCTATCAATTCTATAATTATTTGCCTCATTTAAGACGACTTTCAACGGCTTTAGGACTCATGTGAATAAGATGAGTTTTAATATTTCCAGTTTTGATTTCTTCACCGTTTGCAATATTCTTAAGTTCATATGTCTAACTATAGGTCACGAGAGCAATTTTACAGTTGATTAAAAGATATTATTGTATTCAGTTCTTTCTTTTATATTTCTAAACAATTTTCAAATGTTTGCAGAAGGTTTTAACAATTCAAACGTAGTAATTATGATGTAAAATTATTCAATAAAATTAATTAATCAAGTGTTGCCTTAACATCACTTTCGAAATTCAATTGTATTTACCCAATTTAAATGCTAAAAATATTGAAATTACAAAGTTACAAAGTTACAACGAAAATATATTAAGATAAAATAACGAAAGCGATGATATCGCAGATAATATCGCAAGATGAAAAGGGGAAAGATTGGGGGAATGTCTTATAATAAAACTAAAATAAAAATAAAAATAACATGATAATTTTAAATCCCAAAAAATAATTATTGACTCCTATCATCTTTTATTAAGATTTGAAATTTTCAACACAACATAGTACATTAATATATATAATCTAAAATATTATCCCTTAATTGTTTTACCTATAAATTTGTAGGCAATTTTATTTATAAATTAAAATCATTTTAATTATTTTAAAATATTTTAAAATATGTTATTAAAAAATTAATACTTTTATAATAAATTTTATAATGTTTTCTAAGTATAAATTAAATGATAAATAAATGATAAATTATTATTAAAATAATTAAAATTTTAAATCCTTGCTATCTATTAATCTCAAAAATATAAAAATAATCATTTAATATGTTTTAATAAGATGAATCCATTAAAACAAATTTTATTTTTAAATAATTATTACATAAAATGTTAATAAATTGAAATTTTGAAAAATTATATATATTAATAATTATTAATTTTAAAAATTAAAAATATTATTATTAAATATTTTAATATAACAAATCTAATAAATTTTATTTTATCTTTTTATAATCATTAGATGTCAAAATATTTTAAGTTTTCTAAAATATTTTATAAACAATTTTATATACAATTTAAGGGATAAAACTAATTAAATAGCGAAATATTAAAAATTTTTCTTCATAATGACCTTCAGAATTGCAGTTGACTATTTATCACCTTATATGTTCTCTCTCTCTCCGTTTTTCATCTAAAAATGTAATTTATATAGCGTTTAAACAACTGTGTACAATATACAAATGGAAATTGACTAATCATAATTACCTGAATAGGGAATAAATTTTAGTAAATTATTTTAGAAATTATAATTATTTTATAAGTTTATGTAAAAGGTCAACACAATTAAATGTGAAAGAGAAAAAATTTTAATATATTCACTTATTTTATCATAAAAAAAATTCCGTGATTTTGTAATCTGAACTTACATCAAAAAGACCTAAAAATCACAAATAAAAACCAATTTTTGTAATTTAAAATACAAAATGATGCAGTTTAAAATTTTTTTATTAAATGTAATTTAAATACATCAGATTATTTAATATTTTTAAAAATGAATTTCTTGTAAAGTAAACTTAAATATCTGAAGAAAATATCCTTTAATTAATTATGTATTAATTAGATCACATTAAAAAAATTTAGTTACTATTCAAAAAAAAAAAAATTAAATAAAATAAAATAAAAATATTTTTATAACATCTTTTTTTATTTTCAAATTTAATAATATAATTTAACAATATTTTATTTTATAACTTTTTATGTTTAGTAATAAATTTTAAAAAAAATATAATACAATTACCTTCATAAACAAGTTTTATAATCATGATTATAATAAACTTAAATTATTTGCTTTTAAAATATTCAAATTCGAATATAAATTGTAAAAATTTTTAAAAAAACATGTGTTTAATAAAAAAATTCTAATCTAAAAAAAATGTATTCTAAATGCATAAATCTATAAATTACGGTTGATTTTTAATATTATGATCATCTTTTTTTCTCACAACTCATATTTACAAGACTAAAAAAAATAAAATATTTTTAGTGATAAACTTATTAAAGTTTATATACTTTATTAAATATCACCATTAAAGAAGGGCAGAAGTGTAAAGGAGATATATGTTTATTTGAATTCGTAATTTAATTATGAATTATTATTATTATTTTTTTTATTTTCTTTCAGAAAATTTATGAAATAGTGAGCGACTAGAGTTATTATAGATATTAGTCTTAATTGCAATCACAAATATGTAGGCTTTAAAAGGATAATACTTCAGGAAGGAGTTGCAGGTAATTATTCTGTTGTGCAGTTTCTTTGGTAAGGGTTCTACTTTTCTGAAAAAGGAATTAGCTTTGTATCTTTCTTACAAAATAATTAAATTGCATTTATGAGCAGGGATCACTTTTCGTTTGAGTTGTATAATTATCCTCATATAATATAATAATAAAATTTGTAATTTTATATAATAAAGAAAGTTTTTGTGATTTTTAAAGAATAAAAGTTTTTAATAAATTTTAATTTTTTCAATATACTTCTAATTGATTCTAATATAGTATATAATAAAGTTTCTATAATATATACGTACCTTTATTGAGAATTAATTTATTTTATAAATAATGATATATTGAAATATTAATTACTAAAGAAATATTTTTAATTAATCACCATGTAATTTGGCATTATATAATCGAATTTAAGGAATAAGTATTAGTCAATATGTATATATAAATTAAAAAAATACTTTATTAGACAAATCTTATTTAATATAGAATATTATTACTTTTACATATTTTAATATTAAAAATGGATGAAATATGTAACATTGTTCCAGTTTATTATAAAAATTTTTGAAAAGATCGTTTTGTCAAAATTTATAAATCTAAAAAATAAGAATTAAAAATTTTAAAATATCATTAAATGAGAATTTATTTAGTGATAATTATATCAAGAATTCATTATTTCGAGTTTGAACTGTATAGTGTATAGCTTTTTTGTTGATTGCTTATTAATAGAAGTTCAACTTATTATAAGCTGAAACAAAAATAAACTCTAATATAAAAAAAATATTATTGTTTGATTTAAAATATTTAAAATTAAAGAGTACATATTTTTTTTAAAAAGAAATACATTTATTTTTATTTATAAAAGAAATGTATTATTTTTTTTTTAGAAAATCCAAAAAATAGATTTTATTTTTAGTTGTAAATATTATTATTAATGTGAACGCATAATGCACTCAGTTACTCAGTCAAATAACTATTAAATATTTACTATGAAAATTCAAAAATAAATATTCAAAAAATAAATACTAAAAATAAATATATATATATATATTTTTGATCTATAATTAAATATTATGTATCACTGACAAAATTATATAGTTTGAAATAAATTTTTTATTACTTTTTAAAAAAATAATTTTGTACTTGAAATAAAAAAGAAATACAGTGCGCGACACTTAAAGACTGAAATCACGTGATTTGTCCTGATCCCGAAATTTTAAAAAATCACGTGACTATT